GGGGTTTGAGTGCATGGGCTATCTTGCAGCCAACATCTGTTCAGCCTGCCCTGCAGACAACACAGTTCAGCCTGCTCTGCACCCAACAGGATTGAACTCAGAGCCTYGCAGGTTCCAGGCGAGTGCTCTACCGCTGAGCCACAACCCCATCCCCTCATCCATTTCTTTCACCAGACCTCATCCATTTTATTTGTCCTACGTTTTAATGCCACCAACATAGTCCTGGCTCAGAGCAGACCCTCAGTAAATACTTGTTGAATGGATGGATGGATGATCAGATGGATAGGTGGATGGATTAATGGATGGATGGGTGGATGGATGGATGGAGRTTGGATGAATGGATTGATGATGCATGGGTGGTGTTTTAGTCAGATTTTTTTTGTTGCTATGACTAAAGGACCYGACCAAAACAACTGTAAAGTAGGAAAGGTTTATTTGGGGGCTCACAGTTTTAGAAGTCTTAGTCCATAGAAGGCCGGTTCCATTCCTCCTAGTCCGTAGAAGGCTGGCTTCATTCCTCAGGGCTCCAGGTGAGGCAGAACATCATGGTGGAATGTTGTGGCAAGGGAAACAGCTCATATCATGATCAGGAAGCAGAGAGAGTGAATTTCTACTCTCCAGATACAAAATACATACCCCAAAGTCCCACTTCCTCCAGCCACACCCTACCACTTCAGTTATCACTGTTAATCCCTATCAAGGATTAATTCACTGATTGAAGTAGACTCTTATAACCCAATCATTTCTTCTCTGAATACATGTGAGCTTTGATATTACTCGATATTAGACCCGATTTACCTAACTACACTAACTACTTCACATCCAAACCATAACAGGTGGTTAGATGGATGGATAGCTAGATAGACAGGCAGATAATGGATGGGCAGATAGATGATCAGGGACCTTGTTAAACAAGTTACCCCACCTGCAGGACTTCGGCATTCCTGACCCCATCTCTCCAGGGATCCATGTCTTTTTCTCAGGTCATGGGGCCCTCTGCTCCTCTCTCTCTCCCTCTCCCCSCCTCCACCTGGCACAGCTCCTGCCCTGCTCCTCCACATGCTGGTTCCTGTTCTTTCTGTGTCTCTCAACACAAGTGGTAAGCTATTGGTGGACATTGCCTTTCCTGCAGCGCTGTAGGCTTCTTCCTTCTAGTTGCCTCCCCACCCCCCACCCCCACCCCRTTCCTTCTCAGACATCCTTTCGCCTCCCAAGCCAAGGCCTCTCCAATTCACTCACTCACTCACCTGTTCAGCAGTTACAGCATGCCTAGGATGTGCCAGGCACCATGCCTTCCTGAGCTGGCTCTCCCACTGGGACCCTGACAAAATACCAGGATGAATAAAACTCATGGTGTATTAGCTGGTGACAAGTGCTTAGGAGAAAGCTACATGGGGCAAGGAGTCAAGAAACATTGAAGCATTTGTGACTCCAGGTAGTAAGGGCTGGAAGGAGCAAGTGGGCCAGGGGTTGTCAAGGAAAGAACAGACCATGAGCAAAGGCCCTAGGAGAGCGTCTTCCTCCCTCAAGTGTTGGAGGGCATCCAGGAGGGGCAGGGAAGGGAGGCAGCGGGCTAGTCACACACCTACTGGCAGGAACAGACTCAGGACACATGCCACGTGAGGCCAGTGCCAACACAAGTCCCCTCYGGCTGCCGTGGCTGAGGAGGGAGGTGACAGGCAGTTCGTGGAGAAGCAGAAGGGCAAGACTGGATATGGGTGTGAGTAGAATAGCCTTTGAGGATAACTCTGAGGCCTTGACCAGGGTTCAGGGAAGATAGCATCAGGATCCAGGTCTGCAAGGCTGGGGGTGGGAGGGCTGGGGGAAGAYGAGGGCTCCACTGGACACCGCTGAGTCTGTGGTGCCTGTGAGACATTAGGAAGGAGGTGGGAGCGAGGATTCAGCAGTCTGGAGTTCAGGGGTATCCAGGCTGGCTTTGGCCTGCCTCCTGATGGACAGGACTCCTGGCAGGTTATGGAGAGCCTCCTATGGCTGAACCCAGCAGAGGTGCCCATGGCCACTCTGGTCACTGCAGGATCCCTCAGGGGCAGCCCACTCTTCTGGAGTCCATGACATTCTCCCAGCCCTCTGCTTGGTCACCGTCTGTATGTTCCCTCACTCTGGGGAGCTGGCAGCATCCCCATCTTGCTCCCTGCTGATCCTGGCCATCTCATCCAGGCCGTAATGTGCCCTCAGTGCTGCTGACCTCACTTCTGCCTCTCGCCCACCCCCATCCCATACTCCAAACCCCACACCAACTCCTGGCCTGAGCATGTCCCTCCCGACCAGCACCCAGGGTCCCAGGCAAGGCTCAGCAGGTCCTGCTCCAGCCCCACTTCTCTTGGGGCCCACGTCACCATTCGCTATCCTATAACTGGCACCACCCACCCCTTTGCCTACCCTCTGGTCACATGCAACTGCCAAAATCCTTTTCAATGCCAAAATGCTGGTTTTGCTAGACCCCTCTAAATCACAGGCACTGACCAAAGATTCTCCCTCCCACCACCCCACCAGGTCCCTCGGAGTACCTACCAGGAGCCCAAGGAGCAACAGCAGCTGCASATCATCAAGAGGCACAACCGCCTGAAGGCCGAGGTGACCACACGTGTCCCCTGCCTCTCTAGAGGCCCCATCAGGACCTGTTAGGAGAGGGGGAAAGTGGGACAAGCAGRAGGAGGATGGGAGATGGTGGCTAGGCATGCGTGGTAGAAGCTGGCAGAGCAGGAGCTGTGTTCTGTCTTGGCAGGAGCTGCTGCTGAGGGCGAATGTGGAGGAACTGCGGTGCGCCATGCCCAGGGCACGCAGGGCACCGCCTGAGCAGGTAACAGTGGCCCTTCAGACCCAAGGCCAGTCTGCATGACAGCAAGGAAAGCTCCTTCTGCCCRGTGTGGTGGCCACATTTATCATCCCAGTGAGGATCTCAAGTCCAAGACCAGCCTTGGCAGTGTAGCGAGACCCTGTCTTAAGATAAAATTTTAGAAAGGGCTGGGGTATACCAAGAAAATMATTTTCAATGCCAAAATGCCAACACGATGACACACTAATTGGCCTTTTCCCACCATGGGCAGATTCCCAGTAACAGCTGGAATGACCCTGGAGCCCCGCAGAGTGGGCAGGATAGGACCCATCCTGAGCCACAGGAGGAAGGATGCACAGGGGAGGAAACAGCCTGGCTGCCATCTCTGGGCTTCTGGGTGCCTCTGARCATGTCACACTTCTACAGGAAAAGACAAGCCAGGGATGTTGGCCAGGGAGAAAAAGCAAAGGGACAGGAGACGGAGAGTTTCATCTGGAGGAACACATTTTGGAGCACAGGCAGTCCCTCCGTAGCAGCAAGGCGGGCCCAGGCCCCATGTCCCCACAGCAGCATGCCCAGGGGCAACCACAGTCTTCTACCCCCACACTGTGGCTCATCATGCCCCTGCCAGCTGGATCAGCAGGACCACAGGAGGTTGGGCAGGGGACAGAGACTCATGGTGCTGCCCAGGAAAGGGCATGGGGCCGTGAGACCTCACACCTGGGGGAGCTAAAGAGTAGGACATTGAGCCCTAAGGCCCAGTTGCCCCATCTTGGGACCACTGACCCCAGGCCCAGCAGGCCCTGCATCTTCCTTGCCCCCACCAGGACAGTTCAGTGCCTCCGAAGACCTAGGAGAAGACTGAAGGCAGATGCTGCCCTGGGGACCAGGGTGGGAACACTGGAGTTGGGACAAAGGGGAGTGAGCTGGGTTTTCTAGGCATTCTGGGCCAGCATCCACCCAGGAGGTCTGGGGGCACTTAGAGGGCACAGGTGCCAGGCTATGCCCCTGCCTGACTTCTGCAGGACTCCAAGAAGAAGCTTGGGTGCCCAACCCACATCCAAAAATCCCCAAAGCTGACCTTCTACAGGGTAAGGGGCACTCCTGGCCAGTCAGGCCTCCCTGGCACCACCCCCAATACCTCCCAATACCTGTTCTGCCTCCATAAGCTCTGAGGGTAGGAACTGGGGGACCTAGGGGCCCTGGGGATGGCCTTGCCCTAGAGGCAGAGGGAAGTACTTGAGTAAGGGCAAGTGGGTAGGGCACGATGGGAGGGCACTGGCTGCCCCTGAGTGCCCCCAGCTAGCCCCTCCCTCTCCTGCAGCCTGACAATATCCCTATCAAGTTGAACACTGCTGCCATCCTGCGAGAAGGGGCCTTGTACCAGAAGCAGGTGGAAAAAGAGCTGCAGAGGTGAGGGACTGGTGGGGGACTATGGCTTCCCTGTGGCCCTCTGCCAGTATTGCTCTGTGCCACCCTTGAGAGCAGAGGCTGGAGGAGAGACCTGGTGGCTGGGCAGCTCAGTGGAGAAGGGGTCTGGGGTACTAAAGATGTTGAAGGGAAAAGCAAACTCGGTTTCTCCTACATTCTCACACTACAACACTTGTGGTGCCCACCAAGCAARCAATGCTGCCACCGTGGACACAGCTGGGTGTCCTCCAACTCAGTTCTGCTCTGACGCTACTCAGCATCACGAAGAGAGAAAACCCAGGGGTACTCTTACCTTGGTGCAGTCATGCAGTATCGTGCCCCAACCTCATCCCAGGTCCACCTAGGCAGAAGAAAACCCAGTGGGACACTCCTTCAGGCCCACTCACATGAGTGTGAGCATAGTGTCCCTTCCTGCCTGGGTTCAGCTCTCCAGACAGCTACATGCGGGCCCCTAGCCACCCAGGGCTCAGGGCCACCCGCAGTCTGCCTCTCTTGCAGGCAGACAAAGCAGTTCTTTGGGCACTGATGACCCAGTAGCAGTAGAAAGGAAGCTAAGGCAAGGAGCATGAACCCAGGCCTAGGTTTAACTGGGGAAGCGAGGTACGGTCCAGGAAAGGGGAGACAGTCCTAGGAGCAAGACATCAGGCTGCCCTGAGCAAAGGAAGGGCCAGCCTTTTATCAGGTTACTGTGAAGAGCTAGGGTCTGGCATCTGTCACTCATCGTGTGTGTGTGTGTGTGTGTGTGTGTGTGTGTGTGTGTGTGTGCGTTAAAGAATTCCCTCCTTGTAGAGGATTTGGATCCTTAGTTGCTTAGTTTACTCAGAGACACCAATATCTGGCTTTTATGGTGCATCTGGTCTTATGGTCATCTTGGACCTTGCAATAAGATTGTTGAGAAAAGTTAGGGGGAGGGAGAAAGGGAAATGCTGCCAATTTTAAGGAATGATGAGGTGGGGCTTGAGGCCTCAGGTTTCTCTATCCTTTCCACATACCATATTTTTAGGGATGATAAGTGGATTATGGCCTGAGTGTTCCCCTCTGTCCCTGTAGTGGTCCCTGACTGGCTGCTAGACAGCCGTGTCTGCTCTGCTGCTGCTCCCCACATCCTCTCATTTTGTAGACCCAGGTGGCCACCTAAGCTGAGCACATGGGACATCTGCTTGTCATTCAGTCACTGTGCAGACTTGCAAGGGAGCTCTTCTGATGTGTCGCGTCCCACTAATGAGCTCCCCAGAGTTCCACAGGCCATGCCCCAGTCAGATATCCCTTTGATAGGTCCTATTGCCTGACCAGGCCCTGGGCCACTGCCTGCAAGCCAGCCAAGACCTAAACAGGAGTCCCTCCCTTGTCCAGTTCTTCAACTGCAGTCCAGCCCACCGGGAGGACTCCTTCCCCTGTCTCCAGTTAGAGCAGTGTCTTTCCAAACCTGCTGCCCGCCTGGTGCTCCTCTTGGAACTGCTACCCACCCACCAGGCAGCTCCTGCTCAGCCAGCCAAGAGCTATCCACGAGGTACTGTGGGACTCAGCAGTCCCTCACCCAGGCCCGTCAGCCCTTAGGGAAAGAGGCCCATTTAACAGTACCCACCACTGATTCCCTGGGGGGCACCGGGGTATGACCCTGTATAAACCATCTCTATTTCTTTTTCTTTTTTTTTTTAATTTTTTTTGAGAGAGATAGAGAATTTTAATATTTATTTTTTAGTTTTCAGTGGACACAACATCTTTGTTGGTATGTGGTACTGAGGATTAAACCCGGGCCGCATGCATGCCAGGCGAGCGCGCTACCACTTGAGCCACATCCCCAGCCCCCATCTCTATTTCATTATGGAACACTTCTGGGTGCTACCACCCGAGACAGCATTTCTCCAATGTTGCATAGAAAATTTGGCATGAATAGGTGCTTTTTTTTTAATATTAATTCTTTAGCTTTAGGTGGACTCAATATCTTTATTTTACATTTATGTGGTGCTAAGGATCGAACCCAGTGCCTTGTGCATGCTAGGCGAGTGCTCTACCACTGACCCACAACCCCAGCCCCTGAATMGGTGCTTTTTATCAATTTGTTCCTTATACTTATGCCTGGCAGGAGAAGTTGTTAACTTGTGGGGTCATCACCTTGGTATCTGTACTCAAAATAGAGTAGCTTGTGGCAAACCACTACTTTACAAAATAAGGTCATTCAGGACAGGCACAGCCTGAGAGCTGCTGTTCTACACACCATGGAGTCACTCAGGGC